GAACGAGTCATCGTACAAAGAGGGACTCTGCACATACATCGCTCGATAGTGGTTTCTCGTGTTATCGATAGAACCTACATGTTATGAGCATGTTTTGAAGGAATCTGCGCGAGATAAACCACTCGGTTTACTTGGCGTCGGTATCTGGCAAGTATATCCCTTCTTATCGACCATGCGTTGACAGAACGACATAATCTCGCGAGATCAAAAGACCGACGATACTATAGAACGTGGTCGCGCTATAAGGGGATAAGGGGTTGACCGAGAGGAACCGGTGGCCACCCAAGAAGACGGTCTCCTTTCTCTCTGTGCCGAGCCGGCCGTTTAACAGGACCCTCTTTGATCTTTTCTTTTTTTCCTCATTCGATTTTTGCTCCTTTTTCCTTGCTCTCTTAAAGTTGCCGCTGAGAGATCGCTCGCTTACGTGAGAGGGAGAGGAGACCGGAAATGGAGACGTCCTCCGTGCTCGAACGATGCAAGTGAGCTTGTTAGGCTGACATCTCAATTTTAACGCTCTCGATTGGGAGTCGAGAAGTCGCGGGGTTTCGGAGGCGAAGAGAGACGCGGTGAGAGAAAGAGAAAGAGAAGAAGATACCGAGGGTGGGCCCCCGCATGCGTGGCGGCGTTCGCATAAGCGCCAGAAAGGGCCACACGCATTCACCTTACGCGTATGTATATGAGCGAATACGTACGTGTATTTACACACAAGTGCATGTACATGTGGCGAAAGTACGCATTCTAGATGCCGCGTTCGGAATAAAGACAAGTTCCCGAGAAGACAAGAAGATAAAGTACACGCAGCGGGGAGAGCGGGGGGGTTGCGGTGAAATAACGCGGGCTAAAAGGGCTCTCTGTCGGATCGTGAAAGGAATAGAAGGAACGGGGAGGGGGAGAGGGGGGGGGAGGAGGGACAGGGAGAAGATGGGGCATCCAGAGGGGGCGGAAGGGGGAAAGACAACGGCGGGGGGCGGGGTCGGGGGGTGAAACCCGCGGGGAAAAGAAGAAACGCGAAGATAGGAGCCTTGGCTCATAATAGGTGGAGAGGCCGGCGCCTCTCGTAGCATCACCACGTGGCATGCGGCCAACTACTGTCTCCTGATCAATATGCTTACGGCTACCTCGCCTCTCTTTCTATCCCTTTCCTCTCGTACCGTCTCCCTTTTGCGTCTCTCCGTCGTAAGAGAGCAGTGGATCAGGCGTTTCGGTGACGCGATGCGATGCGATGCGTTATCCGACGACACCGCTGAGGTATCTGGCGTGCCGAAGGTAAACCGAGAAAATCGTGTCGCCGTCCTTCTTCCACGGGGATCACCGCGATCTCGATGTGCAATCGGGGGATCGACTTCCTACGCGACATATCTAATCAGTATATCAGATAAAAAAGATGTGACGTCTTTTCAATCCGAAAAAGGAGTTTCCCCAATTTTATTTTAAAAAAACCTACATTGGTAGTCTTGCTTTAAAACTAGATTCGATAGATAAATGATAAAAATGTATTCTTGCTCTCTAAATTCTTTCGAGTGGAATCTCATTCCAAAGAGTGAACATTGAGCCAGTCTTGAAAAAGAGAATGGCTGAATTTTCAATCTTCAAGATTCAGAGAGAGACAATTTAGTCTAAAAGTTTTAGAAAGTGTGGTACCAGTTTCGTATCACAATCAATCAAAAAAATATTACTATATCTTTCGGTTCAAAATGTTCAAAACGTTCGCATTCGTTATAATGAGGACATATTATTATTTTAAATATTCATGAAATTGGTGAACTAGAGTTGTAACAAATAGATGTATTTTTCTACCAAAGAACGACTGAAACTATCGAAATGTCTGCAGTGCGAAGAATATATCGTATGTGATAACTGCGAATAAATCTGAAGATCGTTTTTCAAGTGGAGCAAGTAGTCCGATTTTTCTCCATTCTCAAGAGGTAATTATGGCTATCGGCGACGTTACAAATATATATGTGCGAGCGTGTCGTTTTTGCGAACAAAAGGGTCTATGGTGATCCTTGCTCCCGAGAATTCCGAGATAAATGTCTCGTGTAACCATCGCGTGGGTGGGACAAATTGATCATCCGTTTCCACTTGGGTATTATCTTATCATCGACGAAATTTCTCGCCGTGATATACCGTTAGCACCTAACAGGTGGTCCCCGTTCGCGCCGACCGGCGGCCTCACTCACAATCGGTCGACGTTGCTAATGACGCCGAGATCATTGCGATGCTGCGCGAATCGTCTGTGGTACCATGCGTCAGTCACGTGGTGGTGACCGCTCCGAGTGATCTCTCTGTCTATCTCTCCCTCTCCTCTCTCCCATTCTCTTTCCCCTCCCTCCC